TATGGACTCCGGACAGCGGATGATACTCTCCACGATGTGATCTCGGATCTGCTGTCGGTCGTTCTCATGGATGTTGAACGGAAACACGACCTCCCCCAGAGACGGCTCCCGGTCCTGCCAGTACTGACTCACCATGTTCTTCAGGTAGATGGCAGCTACACACACATACACACACACACGCACGCACGCACGCAGACACACACACATGTAAGGTCAGTGATTCAGATGGCTCAATATGGAAATGATCAAACTTCATTTTAACAGAATAATGAATAGAAGAAAAACATGAATAATTCTGAGGTTCTGACCCGCCTGACGGACAGGAAAGTCGACCTGCTCCGACACGATGATCTGAAGAAGAGTCGGAGCGAAGTTGATGATCTTGTACGACTGAAACACAAAAACAAGATCCAGTCAAACAAACAGAAGAGAAAGTTTGACATTTGTCCGATAAAAAATGACGAAAATCTTCAAGTTTTTACTACTTAGAGGAAAATCTGCAGCAAACACACAAACACACACACACACACACACACACACACACACACACACACATTATCGTTTACGACCCAAGGTCCTTTAAAGAAAAGTCCGGATGGTTCTGACTAAAGCTTGTGAAATCAGAACCAGATCTTTAGTCAATCATTAAAAAATGAGATTTGACAAAATAAATAAATCTACTGATCCAGAACCACAGACTGTATTTACTCTGGACCACTTGGTTCCTCCTTCCTCCAGTTTACGGACTTGAAGCCGAAAAGTTCTTGGTAATTCTGCGATTTTTCTTCATTTCCTGAAACCATCATTGTTCAGTAGCTTTGTACGCATTCGGGCGCACAGTCACGGAGAGTGGCTGTGATGACGCTCGGCTCAAACAGCGTATCCCCGGGTGATCTCCTCAATCTCTGTCCTCCCATTGGCTGTATCAGGTGTCAATCATAGCAAACATGAACCCCCTAATAACTTTTAAAAATGGAGCTGTACAGAAAAAAGAGGACTTGAGCACAAACCAGTCTGACAGTAACTACATGTCAACATCACAACCAGGGGGGAGAAACATTTATATTCTGTGTCATTCATTTATAAAGTTTGTCCACAGCTCCATAAGGAGGCGGGGTTTAGGACCTATACTGCAGCCCGTCACCAGAGGGCGCTGTTCTCAGAGGCAGACGGCGTCTATTCTAGATACAGTTGATGGCACTGAGCAGAGGACCCAACAGTGTCCCCCTAACATCTGTCAGAGCGGCTCTGATGACTTCAGAATTCGTAAGAAGGTTTGATGATGTCACTGATGTTCCCGGACTGTTCCAGTATGTTTCCAAAAGTCCAAAATTTTCTCAAACATTCCGGAATGTTATTGATCTTTTAGAATGTCTTTGATGTCATAGAATGTTTGATCTTTTAGAATGTGTTTGATGTCATAGAATGTTTGATCTTTTAGAATGTCTTTGATCTTTTAGAATGTCTTTGATGTTATAGAATGTTATTGATCTTTTAGAATGTCCTTGATGTTATAGAATGTTTGATCTTTTAGAATGTCCTTGATGTTATAGAATGTTTGATCTTTTAGAATGTCTTTGATGTTATAGAATGTTTGATCTTTTAGAATGTCCTTGATGTTCTGTAATGTTCAGTGATATTCTAGAATGTTCTACATGAGGGTTGGGCAGTCATGTGTCATGGAGGGCCGAGAGGCTGCAGGTTTTCCTTCCAACCCAAAACTCCACCAGGTGATTTCATTGATTAGTTCCTGCTCTCTGCTTGGAGGTAATCAGTGAAATCACCTGCAGCCTCTCGGCCCTCCATGACACATGACTGCCCACCCCTGTTCTCCACCACCAAAGACTGTGTTTACTACGGATGACTTGGCTCCTCCTTCTGCGTGTATTCGGGTATTAAAGCTGAAAAGTTCTCAGTAATAGTCTATGGTCCAAACGGAGAAAGAAGACCCTGTTCTGGAGACCTTAGTAGACCCAGCAGACCAGGTTCTAGAGTCTGAAGGTCCAGTCTGTCCTGATGGAGGACTTCAGCTGCTCCTTGGTTTCCTGTTTTTTCCAGTTTTCAGGGTTCTGATGGTCCAAAAGTCTGGACCGGTTCTGTCCTTTAGCACTAAATTCTGTTTTTTTTCTGCTTTCTCGTGTTCGGTCTTTGGCTGTTTTTGTTTGTTTATGTTTTTGTTTTTATTTGTTTTTTTTTTTTACTGAATTTGATCCTAAAATTTTTTTTCTTTCATGTTTTTCTTCGATCATCAATAATCAATAATCAGCTGATGGTTCTGGTTTTTCTAACTGGGTCAGACCCTTTCAGAACCAGCAGACCTCTGTGAAGGTTTGGACCTCAGATCGGATAGATCTGAGTCTCTGATTATGGGTCTGATACGGATCAGGATCTACAGAACCACCAGGCTGGACCACAGAGGTCCATTATCCCCCCCTCCGGACCACTAACCCGTCCTCCTCCTCCCCCGGACCCTGAACCCTGAACCCAGACCTCCTCCGAACCCACCTGGTTCAGTTCGGTCTCCGCAGCGATCCTCAGGTTCGGGTCGATGGTTCCCTTCAGGGCCTGGATAATCCGGTTCGGGTCCATGATGGTTCGGTCCCCTCTCTGCTTTTACAGGGTAAGCCTCTGAGAGTCCAGCAGAACCGGTTCAGATCCGGTTCTTAGAGCGGGTCAGTCCTCCGGGTCCGGTTCATGCAGCGAGGTTTTGGTTAAAGGAAGACTCGGTTCTGAGGTTCTACAGGATCTGTGGATCCTTCATGGTGGACCAAGAAAACCCCAAAAACCCCAAAAACCTCGAACCAGAACCAGACGGTAAACGGAGGCCCTGCTGCCCCGTCTTACCGGAAACCGACCGTGAAAGGACGTAAAACGACGTGAAGGCTGACCGGTTTACGGCCTTCTTCTTCCTCTTCTTCTTCTTCTTCTTCTTCCGTGGACTTTAGAAGCAGCTCCTGAGCTCACTGTCGCCCCCTGGTGGACTGCAGTTCCTCTGTTTGAACAGACACCTGAACCTGCATGTGTGTGTGTGTGTGTGCGTGTTTGTCAGGTTTATACAGGCGTTCGTCATCACTGTGAGCTGACATGAAAAAACATAAAAAAAAAATTAAATAAAAATCAGATTTTTAATAAACGATAATTCTGATGAGAATCAGTCACAGAAACTGTTACGATAATCGTCTTTATTCTCATGTGAAACTTCATTAAATCAAATCTGATTTTATTGGATAAAAAGTCAAAATTATGATTAAAACTAATGAGAGTCCTCATTTTAAAATAACTGATTCTATAATTATGATATAAATCTGAATATTAGGAGGTAAAAACTGATAAAACATGATCAATAAATCCTGTAGATTTGATTTTAAATTAAAGATATTTAGAGAATAAAAGCTGTAATCACCACCATGTTATATTTTCACCTTATTTTGATCATAAGATATAAAGATAGCGGTATAATTTAATCCTGTTTAATACAGAAAAACAGGATAAATGTGATCATTTTAGGAGGAAAAGAACGATGTTACTTTATAAACTGATCAAGATAATTCCTCTCTCTGTCATTTATGGTTTATATGAAACACAGTCTGAAATGTTATTTAAAAACTATAATTTTAAAGTGACTTTGGGGTTTTATGGCGTTTCTTTCACATTTGTCAGGGATCAGACTTTGACTAAAACTCTGGTGAATTTATTTCCTGGTTTTATTTTTCTGTCAGCTTCCTTTATTTCACACATTTTAAAACGATGCTTTTATTTTGAAGTACGCCACAGTTTCTCAATTCTGGCGTTTGGAAAAGCCTCAAATTAAAGTTGAAGGTTTCAAACATCAGCTGGTTGTAGTGAAGTTGTGAAACTGCAGACAGGATACAGCCAGAGAGAGTCCAACACGGCGAACCACGACAAAAACATGTTTATAGAAGAAATAACGTTGTTGGCTGTCAGACACCGACGTGAAGGCCGCTTACAGGAGTAGGACTAATGACGCCAAAGGGGATGTATAAGAGGGAACAGTTCTGGGAATTCGTCGGATTGTTTGTCGTGTTTGATTCTGTAACTGTCAGCTTGACTCTGTGATCTTGTGGTTAATTTTCTCAATCTATGAAAAATCTACGATAGTTGTCGGTAAAAAACCTCAGACTAAAGGATCACATTTCCAAATTAAACCAAAACAGAGACTAAAAATGAAGAGTCCGATCTTTTCTGCTCGTCTTTTATTTTGTAGGCACATCAGGACCACCAGGTCTTCATCACGTCTCTCCACAGTCGGATTAGTGCAACAATTCAGCCTCCAGTGTTCACACCACACCCACCACCAACAACAACAACGACAACAACACACTCCGTCCTTCTCAGAGTCACACAAACAAACACACACTGAGGGGGGGCGGGGCTCCATCCGTCTGAGCCCCGCCCCCCCCGGAGCAAAGTGCTGATCCAGTCAATAATCATAATAATCATAATAATTGATCCGTTCATTCAGTCCAAAGGCATTCAAAACAAAAAGGCACAAACTCATGACAGTGCAAGAGAGAAATCGGCGACCTGAACGGGTTTCTGTTCACGGCGAGATGACGTGTTAATGGGGCGCCGCCGTTCAGAGCGCGTTTGGTTCACGGCGAGGAGCGACAATCCCGGTTTAAAAGGAAGGAAGAGGATCTTTGATGACCCGTTTTTGACGCGCTGGCATGCAGCCGGACCACGGTACTGAGACGCAAGTTTGATCCTGGTTGAGTTCAGAACCATCAGTCCAAGTCTGGAGGTCAGTCCTGGTACAGCAGGAAGCCGGAGAAGGTGCTGTACTTCCAGGTGCTGCCATAGATGGCGCCACGGTGCAACCTCAGCCACACCTGGTCCCCTTGAAAGAGCGGCAGGATGGCGTGGTTGCTCGCCGTCTCGTGATCCGGCGCTCCGTCATTGGCGTAAGCGGACACCATCACCTCCTCGTTGCGCATGAGGTTGATGTAGAGCGGCACGTTGATGGCGAGCTTCAGGATGTGGAAGATGAAGACGTAGGTCCCGTTGGCGGGGCAGGTGAAGCGCCCGATGTGGGTGTCGTACATCTCTCCCAGGTTGCTGTGCAGCTGGTCGAACACGATGGGCTGGTCCAGGTTCCCGGGGGCGAAGTTGGCGGTGCGAGATGCGGTGAAAGCGATTCGCAGAGGCTGAGAGAGCGGGTAGAGGTGCATGGGGAGGACGGTGGGGTGGTGTCCGTGAGGAGTGAGGGGCACCTCCACCGTAGAGACCGACAGAGAGTCCCCGTGACCCGAGTCCACGATGGTGAAGGCTCCCTCACGGTCCGGACTGCTCACCTGAGACGAATCACTCCACGCCGCTGCAGAAACACGAGAACAAAAACCAAACTCATTTTCACGAAGAGAAATAAAGACGATGATTCCAACAGGACTTCGATAAAACGCACGTAAAACGATCTTACCGCTGGAGTTCTGCCTCCCTCCTCCACGTCTGTAACCGTGTTGGTATCCAGAGTCCTGGAAGAACAAAAACAAACGTGAGCTGTTCAAAATTTTACCCGGGTCTCCTACCACCATGGACGCCATCTTGAAAACGACGCCGTTCTCGTGGTCAAACTTTGGTAAACTTTGAGTTTGTTATTAAGGACGTCTAAAACTATAAAAAAAACAGCTGAGGAACCTTTGGTAGGATTTTTTAGGGTTAGGTGTTTTTTTTTTCCTCAGGAGGAATAAAAACCCTGAGGGGTGGCGGTGGGCGGGGTCACTCACTCGAGCAGCGGCGGCGGCGTAGACCAGCGGACCAGAGTCCCTGAAATAAGTCTGGGGGATGTAGGGTCCTCCTGAAAAGTCAGAGTTTTGTGTCAGAGTTTTTCCAAAGATCTGATCCATCAGGAGGAGAAACATCAAAGTAGGAAAACCCAGAAGAAGAAGAAGATCTGAGGAGGACAGGTACCTCGAAACCACCCAGAAGAACGAAAACCTGGACTCAGTCCTTTTCCTCCTCGATTCGTACCTCTAACAGATCCTCGATTGGAGAAGGACTGACCGGATCGACCCACGCTGGACTGACCAGGAGACAGGAAGACCGGTCCACCAGGGTCCACGGTGTAATCTGAGGGGTACACTGAAGGATGACAGGGGTCAGGACAAATCCCGGACCAGGCAGTCTACGTGGTTTTTAAAGGGAGATTCAGGCGTAAAACTACTTTAGGGTAAAACCCACCGTAACACCGAGTTAGACCCCGCCCCCTCCAGAGATGAATGTTGTCGACCGCTTCCTTCTCTAGTTATACCAACTTTAGTAACGACCGCAGGATAGAAATACAGAGAGCCACGCCCCCAAACAAAACGCCACTCTATAGCCACAAATAATGCTCAGAACAGCACCTAACTTCAGATTTTCCTGAAATCTGCTGATTTCCTCCGAAGACGACGAGTCGTGTCGGTGTCAGGCCGCCATCGTGATGAGAGTCTGAGAAATCAACCAATCAGAGAAGAGCGAACAGAGACAGATGTGAACAAGTGTGAGCTCGCACCGACTTCAGCGGGAGGAAGAGATCAAGATCTGAACGAGTTACTTATGACAACAAGATATCGAGATTTTTCCAACAAACAAGAACCGAGAGATCAAGATCATAGAAGAGTTTGATGAAAACAGTCAAGAAACTGACAAGATATGAACACATGCACGAAATTTGGTATAAGAAAGTCGAGATCATTTCTTCATGGAAACACAATCAGACCGAGACGCTGAGACAGAAGAACTACAGCGTCTGTAAAATGATCAATATGGTGATTATTAGTTCAAGGAAACGATGAAGAAATGATCAGAAATGTTCGTCTGAACTCGGCGATCGACTCACTAAAGTTGGTTTAACCGGAGAAACAAGCGGTCGACAACATTCATGTCTGGAGGGGGCGGGGTCTAACTCGGTGTTACGGTGGGTTTGACCCTAAATTAGTTTTACGCCGGAATATCCCTTTAAGAGTCCAGGACGTACCGGGTCTGGGTTCATCATCAAACTCAGGCGGGGTCTGGGTGCTGGCTGTGGTGTACCGAGGCTCGGCAAAACCTGCTGGATCTGGTTTGTAGTCCAGGTCCCCGTTCTGAGGCAGAGAGGTGCTGACCTTGAAGACCTGCAGGGACAAAGAACCAAGATCCTGGAAGGAAGTCCTGGACCTGGACTTAAAGGTTCAGGTCTGAATCTGAGAAAGACCAGTCTGCAGTGACGGGTCCAGATCCTTCAGTGTGATCCAGATCCAACCTCACAGTCTGGAACCAGGACCAGGACCAGGAAGAACCTGATGATGGTGAAGACCCACAACTGGGAACTCAAGGACAGGGGTTCGAGTGAGGGGAGACTAGGGGGTCTCATCAGACCGCTTTAAGACCCTCAGGTCCTCCAGGTCTGCTGTGAGTTTGAGCTGATGGTCCCCTTCATAAAGATTCAGGCTTTAAACTTAAAGTGTTTTATTAAATTTACTTTAATTAAAATTGACAAAACTTCAGATTTTTATTCATATT